CTTTTTAAAATGTAATTGCATTGTGATCTTATTCTCGCTTTGTTGTGATTTTAATGTTGTGTTGTGAGATTAATGTTTAAAATGTAACTGCATTGTGATCTTACTCTTGCTGCGTTGTAATTAGGGCTTAATTTGTGCCGCGGCGCCTTTAAAATCTGATCCGGCACCTCAATTTACCAATCCCCCTCCTTAACCGCCCTCCTCTCCCGTCCGCTGTTCACTTTGAGTTTCTTCTGTGACTCCCCTACCCTCTTCACTTTCGTCTGCGACAACCAATCCCCCCACCCCCCGGCTCTCCACATTCGTGCACGACACCTCCACATCCTCGGGTAACATGTCGGATCCGTGACCCCGATCTGTTCCGGGACCTTGCAATTCACAAATTAAGCACTGATTGAACTCTCGTGGCTTTGTGATCCTAATGTCATTGTGTTGTAAGATAATGTTTCCTTTCTGAAAAGTAGTTGCGTTGTGATCTAAATCTTGTTGTGTATTGATCTTAATGTCGTGTTGAGATAAATGTTATGGCATTGTGATCTTAATCTTGCTGCGTTGTGATCTTAATATTGTCATGTTGTGATCTTAATATTGTCATGTTGTGAGATTGATGTTTGCTTTTTGAAATGTAGCTGTGTTGTGATGTTAATGTTGTTGGTTGTGTTGTGAGATTAATGTTTGCTTTCTGAAATGTTGTTGCGTTGTGAGATTGTTTGCTTTTTGAAATCTCATTGTGTTGTGGTCTTAATGTTGTCGTGTTGTGAGATTAATGTTTGCTATTTGAAATGTACTTGCGTTGTGATCTAAATGTCATTGTGTTGTGAGAATAGTGCTTGCTTTCTAAAATCTCATTCTGTTGTGCATTACTAGGCCAACGTACCTTCCTACCTAAACAAGCATGTAAGAAGAAATGGAGTGAAATTATGTATAATGAAGATGCATTTATAGACTAGATAAAAAGGTTGTTTTTTCTGTATTTATATTAGTCTGTCTCAAAAGCAAACCAGTGGTGCCCCCAGAAAATTTTCTTAGGGGTGGCCAAGCAAGACCACATCAAATCTTGGGGTGACACACAAAAACATAATTAATTGTGTGCATATATATTGTGAAAAATGAGTAATGATATATATTTTTTTGTTTCTAATAAATGAAATAATGAAGTTTTAATTAATTCCTTGAAGTACTCTTGAAATATTGTAATTAATTCCTTGAAATATTTCCGCAATTACACGTGCAAACCAAATAAATATCAATATTTATTTTAAAAACACCTTTCAGGCAAGTTATTTCTCACATACTTTTATTGTACAACATACAGTATATGCCATGTCCAAAATTAATGGACATGGTATTAATTATTATAATTAATAATTAATTTTTTTTTTGATTTGTTGTTTTCAATCAGATAAAACACAACTTCATTTAAAATAATAATAATTTCTTAATAAAAAGTGTGCAATCTCAGTGGATTGGCTACATCGGTGGCGCTGATCAATCCATAATAATTTAGTGGCTGCATTTTATTTATTAATTTATCTATTTATTTAATGAAATATTTTCAATTTACGTAAGTTCATTTAAAATAATAATATTAACAACTAAATAAGGGGTGGCCAGAGTTTACACAAGGGTGGCTGTGGCTGAAGCACCTGAAGAAAACATGTTTTTTTTATGTCACTATGTATAGAGTTCAGCAGTGTTGCAGGGATGAATGCTTGCAAAAAGAAAATGACTTTTTAATGAGGCTCTCAACGTAAATTGGTGATGAATGGTTGCGTACAGAATAAACTGGCGGGAGCAAAGATTGTTAATAATGACTTGTTTTCCTATGTTCAACCCTCTCTCAGGTGTCATGACCTTTAAGGGTAGTAAAGTTGCCTTAACTTCCTTCAGTTTATCAGTTTGAGTCAAATCAATTTTGCCGATGGCCTTGGCAAAAAAAAAATTAGGACAATTACTGTTCATTTTGTGATGCGACATTTTTGATTGAAACAAACTTTACCAACAGAGTTTCCTAAATAAGTTGCAACTCCACTTTCTGTGCCTGTTTTTTCTATTTATCTACATTTAAGCTGTTTGTCAGCTTAACCAATTAAAAGTACAAAAAGTTATACACAACTTTAATGTTTTTTGTTTATAAATTATGTCTGTAAAAGTATCAACTGTACTTTACACTCACCGGCCACTTTACTAGTACCGGGTTGGACCCACTTTTGCCTTCTGAACTGCCTTTAATATGAAGCCAGATCAGTCTCAAAAACAATACATTTACCAAATATAATTCGTACGTAAATTAACATTAGACGTGATCACCGTGAAACCATGATTATTCTTCAGACTATACAATCGTACAACCAAAATCTATAATTGTTGCATCCATAATGTTGTGCTTTGAAATACACCATGTGAATGCTTGTAAATAAAGCCTATCATACAATGCACTGATGTTATGTAGTTTCAAAATGCAATATATTACAATTTTAATGTAGAAAAACACAATGTGGGTGTTTTAAGGGGCAAAAGTACAGCATATGGGCTCTTATATGCTGTTGTGTCATCATTCATATTGCAAGTCAAATCTCTCCGGCCCCTCATTTGGTATTCTTTTTTTTTTTATGAACTATCCCATATGACAAACTAATTGACCAGCCCTGATGTAGAAGTTAGTCCAGGACTGCCTCCTACATGGCAAAATCACACCCACTGTGTATCTCCAGCAGGTGGCACCACCGCTCTGTTTGTTTTAGCTTCGTTTACCCTTTTCATCACAGGGTTTAGATCTTCCATACTCGGACAGATGGAGGGAAACCTGTCTCAACACTCACAGCTGGGATCTTTGCACTTGACCACTTTAATTACATCACCTGCATTTCCTGCGTTTGGTCCAAGTGAACAGGAGGATTGCAGGTGTGTTGACGTTTTGATTTAAACCAGTGGTTCCTACACTGTACAAAATGCTGGCTTCCACACAATTCCTTCATGTCGCCCTGACACACATTGATGAAGTCAACTTAACAGACCCTTTTCACATTTCTGGGTTTAACATTAAGTAACATTTTACAATAAGTTTGTATTAGTTAATGCATTATTGAACATAAATGATGAACACTTTAATGTTGTAGTGTACACTTTACAGCGAGCTTCCCAATTCCTTTAACTAATCCTTTAATGATATATCATGGTAGTACATAGTCAACAAACACATTCAGTCATTGATGAGAATCTGCTGATCAAAAACACAATGGCTGGAAAATATCAAGTATTTTTCAAACAACTGCTTCAATCCAAACGCACTCAGAATGCAAAAATCATCTGCAGTTTGATCTGCATTCCCAGTGTAGCACTTTTCATATCTTTTCTCCCTCTTATACATAAAAACACAGCAGACAGCCCATGCTTTGATAATCCCAGTAAAAAATCAGCCCCATTTCCTGAATCCTGACAGTCACCGAGGCCATGATCCTTTCCCAAGAGTTCCTGCTCTGTCACTGCCAATTACCATAATCTTATCGCGCTGGATAAATCCTGTAAGGAGAGCAGAGTAACAGGTGCCACGCATGGTCTGCTTCACTCTGACTCACATGCTACGTTTGATTTCAGTTTCTTCATAGCTCAAGATGACAATATAGCGGCATCATGCTTTCAAACAGGTCCTTTTTTTTGTCAAGCCAAAGAAACTCAGTGCGACTTAGTCATTATACTCTCACTCAGCTATTTATTCATTTAGTTAGCTATAGCCAAGATAACACCTACATGTTTAAACATGCATTGTATGCATTTGAGTTTGATACAGTTTAAATGGGACTCTATTTCAGCACAACAGTAATTTTCACATTTTGTGCCACGTTGTTTAAATCTATTTACACCGTTTTCTGGACTCATGGGTGCGCCGGTCTGAAAGGGAGGTGTGTTAAGGCGCATTGTTGGCGCGTTGCTATTTTGAGGAACTGAAATAGACGGCGCCATTGACCATCTAAAAGCAGTTTGTTCATAACAATTTGCCATGTAAAGAGCAAATGCACCATGATGTGATGCAACTGACTCTTAAATGGAATGAGAGGAGATACTGATTGATTTAATGCATGTTATGCTCAAAACACAGCGCCTTCACGAGACTCCACACTTGTAAACACTCGCTCCATCGGGCTCGCGCGGCTTTCGTACCCACCCACACTCGTCAACGCTACCCAGCCGACCAATCACAGAGCTTGCGCTATGCGTCGTTGCGACGTGTAGTTAATTTTATTTATTTATTTATTTTTTAAAGATGCACGTCAACGATGATGCGACCGCGTGTAGGCTGCGCCGTAGCATATGCTGGCACTTGATGCAGAAGTATAAATCAGCCTTTAGACCATGCGCTCACTGCGCACACACCGTATTTTTCCGTCCTTAAAATAGCAAAAGTGGATTTGGACATCCCACACTGATTTTATGCCATGCCTTTTAAATGTATAATTTTTATTTATTTATTTTTTTTGAGAAAAAAATTCAAAGGGGGGCTAATAATTCTGAATATAACAGAATTTTCTTTTTCTTCTTTTTTTTTATTTGCTAAATTTTTGGGAATTACCACCACAAAAGAAGTCATTTTTATCACAAAAAATCTCCCAAAAAGTCATGAAAAGCTAGAGAGTCTAAATTATAGTTTCAGAAAATAAATACAAATTAGATTAATTGAATGATAGACTTGATTTTTTTTTTTATAGTAAGTTTTTTTTTGTTTTTTTTTACTAAAAACAAAATAAATCTTTTAGTGTGTACTCGATTATGCTAGCTACTGTATGTCTATTAATGGTTTCAGAAAAAAGTCAAAGCAAATAAACAGAATTGATTGATTGATACTAACTCAGTTTTGCTAGCTTATCAGTGTCAAACAGTTTTTCTGTCTTGACCCCCTCCCTCTGCTCTCTCTCTCTCTCTCTCTCTCTCTCTCTCTCTCTCTCTCTCTCTCTCTCTCTCTCTCTCGTGGATCTAAAGTGAACACGGCTCAAGTCAAGGAGAGTTAAAGGGGAATCACAGGGGAATCTCTAGAGTTTGGGCCTGGAGGACAGACCGCTGCCTCAACCCACCCCCAAATCTCAGCATGGGGGCCTCCTATGGCAAGAAGGTAATTGCGTTTTATTGCTTCTGGTGTTTGAGTAACTGTTGAGCAGGCTGCTCAGGCCGTGGTTTGTTTTGAACTCTTGACATGTGGTTTGTTTACGTCAGAATCAGACACTGCTGTTGGGTCTTTAATTGTTGCATATTGAATCATTGTAATGTCTGTAGTCATACCTTTGCTTTTGTATTGTAGACATATTTAAAGGAATAGTTAGCCTACTTGTTTACAGTCAAAAAACTTTGCGTTTCTTTTACTGTTGTTGTTGGTGATGTTGACCATTACCAAACAAGATATTTTAAGGATATTGGAAAGCAGTATATCTGACTGTTAAAATTATGATTTAGTGATTCATGTAACATTTTCATTCTTTTGAATATTTCTCAAGTTATCTTTATTTCTTCATATTCATCAATTTGTTGTTGTTGTTTTCCTATTTAAATTTTAAGACTAATATTATTAGTCCCCTTAAGATTTTTTAAATTGTCTACAGAAAAAAAAAATGACTGACAATGACTTGCTGAATTAACCTAACTTACCTAGCTAACCTAATTAACCCAGTGAAGCCTTTAAATTGCATTTTAAGCTGAATATTAGAATCTTGCAAAATACCTAATAAAATATTATGTATTGCCATTCTAGAAAAGTCCACATAAATAAGTTATTAGTAGGCCCACACAGAATCTGTGCGTGCAGAAATCTGCAGATTAGTTTAGTTGTGTTAATGTGTGTAAATTTTTATTTATTCAGTTTTTAATTTAATTTCAGTCTAATGTTATTGACAAATTTGATAATGTTGATATGATTTAATTACAGTACAGTTTAAGTGGATTTAATTCTGTTTGCATTGTAAACATATTAAGTTTTTAGTTACACTCCTGAAAACATTTTTGCCGACTGTTTGTTAATTTAAGACTGCATTTCCTAACGTAAAACTATGTATACTCGATATCTGATTAATATTGGTCTCTGGATAGCCGAGCACTTCCTATATTAAAAGTGTTAAATTCGCTATTACCCCGTGTCAATTTGAGCGTCAACCTCTGACGAATGCGGGGAACTAGGCTAATGCTTGCAGCACCGTCACTGACAGAAAGAGCAAGTGCGCACGTTGCTGTATCAGAATCCTTGCTTGTAAAATACGCTTTAGAATCAAAGTTTAAGCAAATTTGATGAACGTGATCTTGCATGTTGATCTGAAGAGTGTCGCTCTCGCTCACCAAATGCGCTGTACTGCGTGCGTTTGTTCCTTAAGCAACAAGATCAAACGCCTGACATCACCTGTCCGTATTCCTCAAAGTTGTTTAGAATTAAATGTTTAGAGATGTAGTGACCTGATTGTACCTATGTGTGCCTTTAATGCACCCCTTGATGCTTCTTACGTCCTTGTCGCAGCACCAGTGGCACCGAAATTAGGCACCAAAATTTATATGCTAATTTGATCCGGTACATACCTGTTACAAAGGTATGTTAAGGTGCTATAATGGCACCGGGTTTTGGTATCCAACCCTAGTGGCTAATAATTCTGAATTGAGCTGTATAAATATGTAAAGAGGAATAAACAATACTACACTTGATTGATTAATTGAGCTAAAAATTTTTGATCGTTTTTAGAAAACTAGGCATAATATATAATTTAACTTCTCGAATAAAGTTGTGTTTCTTTCAGACTAATATATATATATATATATATATATATATATATATATATATATATATATGCTGTCTGCTTTCTGTCTATTACTACTGGAAAGCAAAAATAAACTCCTAATTTTAGTCACTTTAATCCAAGAGCCCGTTGTTTGCATTTTGAACGTTTGGCTGAAACCCAGTGAAGCTGCGCAGTATGCTGTTAAATATGTGAGCTATGGAGAGCTGCTTTCTGGAGGTGTGGATGAGGGTGTGGTAAAGGCTGAAGTTCTGCGAGTGACAGCTGCTGTGGAGAGGGGTTACTGCCGGATTACACGCGCACACAAACACACACCCGTCTCTTTTCATTAGCCTTCAGACTGGACAGTACTGTCAGGTTCATCGGGTGAAGAGTTCCAGCCAGAGTTAATTGAATGTCTGCTCTACAGGTCTAAAGGCATGTCAATAGATGCAGTCTATTGTCCAGTCATTTATTCAGGGTTGAAATATCTCACTCCATTGGCTCCATTTTAATGATATAAGCACATAAAGTCTAAAGAACCTGTTGCAAAAGCACTAAGGGCATTTCCGAATCCACTTTTGCAATTTTAAGGACAGAAAAAACAGTCGTAAAGCCAAGCGCATGAGCTTTTTAATAAAGATGTGTGTTGTGCATTAGGACTAGTTTTTTTTATTGTTTTTTTTTTAAGATCATTCAAAATAAGTAAGTGAACGGTTAACACTATTGAAATTAACATTCATATATCTTATTATTCCTGCATATAGTAATGGTTCATTTGTATGTAAATTTTTGCTTTATTAACTCAACTTCATGCAGTTTTGTGACCTGATCTAAAGTGAGAACTATTCATGCTTTATTAATTCTTTATAAACGACAATTAAAGGCTTAGCACCAACTGAACAATAATCTTTGCAATATTATCTTAAGTAAAACTACTGTAAACTTTAAACATTGCTGAATAACAGGAGTGTCAAAATATTGCATAAAATTGAATAAATCAACAACAATATAAAATTTAACAATATAAAAGGATGTCATCACTAAATACAGTCATTTCATTTTAGATAAGGTTGCAAAGATTAATTTGTTGTTTGATAGTTTCATTTGTGTATCGTCAAATTAATAGAAATAAATTAAGTTGGTTTATGTTATTTTTTCCTGTCTAAAATATAACCGAGCCTTTAATTGTCAATTATAAGGGATTTATAAAGCATAAATAGTCCTCACTTTAAATTAGGTCACAAAACTGGATGAAGTTGAGTTAATAAAGCATTTATTAACATACAAATTAACTATTAGTATATGCTTAAATAATACGATTGATAAATGTCAATTTGAATAGTTTATTAGCTCATTCATGATCTTAAACAACCAACTATGCTTAAATAACTGGTCTGTAAATAATTTGATAATTTAGTAATGAAAAATAAATCATTAACAAAGTTTGAAAGTACAAATAATAAGCAAATGTGCTTAGAAGTCAAGAATACAGCATTTGTTGCAGTTATAAACTGCTTATTAACGTTTATTAATGCAGAGTTAATGCTTAACAGATAATGAATTCACTATTTGCTAATACTTAATAGATGATTCATAGTGTTTAGTTATTATAAAGCGTTACCGTAATGCATTACTTTCCATAAAAAGTAACTGATGTTACTCAACTAGTTACTTTTTCAGGGAGTAACTCAATATTGTCATGCATTACTTTCAAAAGTAACTTTTCCCAACACTGCTGTCTGCTTTTTTTTTTCCTAGTCATTCAGCACATCACTTTTCTTAGAGTCTAAAGATCTGTTAGATCCCAAAAGAAAAGTAATTATAATTCTCAATGTTTTGAACTTCATAGCGAATTCTCAGATTGCTAGGCAGTGATTAATGTTTTATGAAGCTGTACAATATTGGTGTTTGAAAGGCTGTGAGTGTTTTTGAAAGCTTAGCTGATATGATTCTGTGAATAAACAGTACATTAACAGCTGTAGAGAAGTTTCTGAAAGCAATTTTTTCACATTTTAAGGTGAAAACCCAGGATTGTGAGTGTTTGTTAATGTTTCAGCATGTATGTTTTTAGGAGTTGAAAGTATTTTGTCTTGTTGATTTCTTTACCTTTTACTTCTTTCTATAAAGGCGGCCTAAACATGATTTAATTTTTTTTATTTGTGTGACTTTTACTGCGTGTCTCATTTTATGAAATAATTTTTTACTAATTTTTCAGACCCATCTTTTAGTTTTTAATGATTCATTCTGAACATTAAAAAAAGTTTTAAATTAATAAATAACTCTGTTTTTAAAGTTTAAATAATTTAAATAATAATAACAATAATAACAATAATAACACTATTATTATTATTATTATTATTATTATTATTATTATTATTATTATTATTATTATTATTATTAATAGCAGCAATAGTTGTTGGTGTTATTATAAGTTTATGATTATTTATTATATTATTATTATTATTATTATTATTATTATTATTATTATTATTATTATTATAGGCAGCAATAGCTGTTGTTGTTGTTATTATAAGTTTATGATTATGTTTAATTATTATTATTATTATTATTATTATTATTATTATTATTATTATTATTATTATTATTATTAATATTAATAATAATAATAATAATAACAATAATACTTGTTATTATTATTTTATGAGGATGATGATTATTATAATTAATAAAACTACAAATAATACAGTAATTAAATTGGTCAGATTTAGCTAAAAGCCTGACCATATACATAAATATTATTATTGATTTATTTTATTAGTATTTAGGATACATACGTACTTATAAATCAATCAGTATTTTTCAAATAAATGGAATGAATGAAATTAAATTGTATTTAAGTACATAATATGAAATGTGGTGGAAATGGATATGGTAAAAATAGCAAATTAAATTAAATTGCAAGAAATACATTTTCAAATTGTTCTATTTTCTATTTATGTTTTAATTATCCAAGTGGTATTTTATATTAAATATACAAGGGCAATTTAAGTGTCTAAAATGAAAAATCTATATATTTTCTTTCCATTTTTTTTGGTTTATTTATTTATTTATTTATTTTTAATTTTTTTCCTCTGATGTAGAGGTTATGAAGTAATTCTATTTACTTATAAACTTTACTAGTTTATTAAGATACATTAAAAAAATAAAACTTTGCAAATTCTTCTACTGGTTAATTAAATTGCTACATGCACATTTCCACCAAAAAAATTTAGCATCCTATTATAGCCTAAAATATATTAACTTCTTAAGAGTTCCTATTCTATCAATTCATTATGGATGGAGCATCCCACAACCGACCTCTTAACATCTTTCTGAAGTAAATCGAAAGTGTGTGTAG